CAACTCTCAAACTCAAATGCTTGAACACATAAATTGAGAATAAAAAATAAAAAATCAACAATTGTGACCAATGACATGTCAATTGGTCACATGTCAATTGTCATTAGTATTTTATTGTATTTTTATCAACACATGAATAAAAATTGGATTTCACCATTAATTTAAGATACATCTATGTAGTTTCCATTAAAATACAATATTCGGTAACACCATCTTAAGTTTGTTATGTTACATTTATTATAACATAGCCTGAAACAGATAAAATTCTATTTTTGTGTACAATTTGATTTGAATTTGAACATATGCTTAAAACTATTGACATTTTTATAATAAAAGAAAAAGTCAAAACGAATTTTTGTAGAGAATTTATGATACAGTATGTAAACAAAACTATAATATCAAATCTTATAAAAAAAATTTCAAAAGAATGTCCAATATTACAACTCTATGGACTAAATTAAGATCACATTATTTCCCTTCAAAAGTTAAATGACAATAATAAAAAAAAACAAATAACCAACCTACAAGAAAAAAAATTACGAAAGTAAACCACTCGTATAAGGCACACCGCTCTGAACCATCCACTCATCTCCAAACAAAAAATTCGAAACGGTAAAATTATTCGCATCGGTAGAATTCATCACGTGGTAACCGGGCCAAACCACACGGTCCGTAGTATTTGAACCAGAACCGGTATTGTTATACTCAGCATAGTACAACGTACTCAATGCAAAATCTCCATTCCACTCTCTCCAACCAACCGGTTCAACAAAACCATCCAAATACGATTGCATGAAAACCGTTCTTGAATACTCTTTCCACGGTCGTCCCAAGTACGTTTTAACCGTATAGTTACTCGAAACCAAATCATCCGCTGGTCTAATCGTACAATTGTGGATCGAAGTTCCTGTGTTTTGGTTCGGATCGGTCCGACCTTGAGCCGTAATAGCGTTAAACTGGTTTGGCAATGGTTGTCGCGGATAGAGATTACAGTTTTGGAACACAACTGCTGCGTTTCCAAATATAAAATCGACTGTTCCATAGATATCGCATTCGCGGTAGAATTGTCTTAATGAATGTGTGTATAAAGTATCTTGATATGCTTCGAAACTGCAACTATAGAAGATTGAAAGATCGGCGCTATTTCGCAATGCCACGGCCTGGTGTTTCTCCGGTCCGGCGGTATTTCGAAAAGTCATGTTGACGGCTACGAAGTTCGGCGATGTCACGGCTGAGAACAAAAATAATAACGATTAGTCTTTGCTTCTACTTTCTAGCGAATCATATAGTTGACCAAAATATATAAAAGGGTGATAATAATGGTTAATGCGTCGTGTCACTTATTCACTAGTCTCCTAGAAGTAATATAAAGTTTGTCATATAGTGAAAAACGTGCGTAAGTTTGATTCAAATATTTTGGGAATTCTAAGATCTCATCATAGTAATGTGTCGGTAATATAACAAAAGTGGTTGTATTTTCTTTACTACAATGTATATAATTCAAATTGTTTTAAGTAATAGTTTTTATTAAAAAATACCGTCAAAATTGTAAATTTCCGAACATATAATAGAAAAACTACTTTTCAACAATACCATCAAAATTGTAGATGCTATAGAACTCTTAATATAAATTTCATTTGTTTTAATTTTAGATAGGTAAAAGATATTTTAAAAGTTTATAATGTGAAACAAAGCATTATCTACATATGGACGTACCAAAAGTGGCGGAGTTGAAAGTGGTCCAACCGTCGACAACGTTCCGGTTACCGGTAACCACCGTACGGTTAATTCCGTCACCAATAATCATAAGATACCTTTTATTTTTCGGAATCATTACATTTTCCTCATAAACACCTGACGTCACGTAGATAACGAAATAACCGGCGGTACCGTCTGTTTTATTCGGCGCCGCCGTAACAGCTTCGATTATCGTCGTGAAATTCCCGGTTCCGTTTTGATTCACCGTCACAATGTCGCTCACTAGCACCTTGGTCCCGTCATTGTCACCGTCAACTAGTTTCCTCCTGCTCAAAGACTCGTAAACGGAGCGTGTTCGTTCCGTCATCTTTAACGGCAAAGCTCCGTTACGAAAACGACTGAACTGGTTTGTGTGGGCCCATGAGTTTCCTTGTTTCTTCTTCTTTGGGACCCACCCTTTAGTGAACAAAGCAAGCGAAACGCTAAAAAGCTTCGTGTCGTTAATCAGAGGCAACGCGACGCCGTTTCGTATGGTCCAAGAAGTGGAAGCTGCAGTGTTGACTCCGTCAAGACACGTTTGCTCGTTTGTCAACGCCGCGGATAATAGCGTTTGGATATCGTCTGCTTTTGAAAACGACAGCGTTTGGGAACCTGTGGACGTGTTAACGGTTTCAAACGACGTTAAGAGATAGTCTGTTGTGAGGCTAGCTAAGTAACGGCAGTCTTGGAGAGCTCTAACGGCGGATTGGGATAGTAAGGCATTGTTGCGTTTGAGGTATTTGTCAATCGTGCGTGTGAATTTTCGCGATTGCGTTAGCGATTTGCGGAGGGAGAAGCGGCCGTATTCGCGAACGTCGCCTTGAGATGTTTGTGGGAAGACTGATTTGCAGAAGTTTGGATCCGGCGTCGTTTTGCAAATGCTT